TGTGTGTGTGTGTGTGTGTGTGTGTGTGTGTGTGTGTGTGTGTGTGTAACCGCCTTGAACTCCTCCAAGACAGATGGGAGTAAAGCTGAAGCTGCCCTGATCTGATCTAGATTCTCGCTGCTGTTAAGCTAGCAGGGATGCCAAGCCACTGCTTCAAATGTTTTTCACTCTCTTCTTCACTCCATCGAACACAGTCATTGGTATCTCGTAGGTCAGAGCCCGTTTTGATAAATACAGTACCTAAACTTGCAGATGTTGTTCCTGTTACCAAGGGTGTGATCATAGCACTCTCCCAGGCATTTAATGGCAACTCAATGACACAAGCACAGGAAATAAACTCACAAAAAGGACAATATATATGCTTTAAATGTTATCATTGTTGTTATTTAAATTTTATTTAAATAATAACATTTTATTTTATTTAAATTTTATTTAAATAATAACATTTAATGTTATTTAAAAGCAAGTCTTGGTCACTCTCTTCTTTTCTTCAGACCATGAAGCAAAGCTGAAAGAGCTGGAGAGCAAGATGACTGAGACTGAAAAGTTGAAGCAGCAGCTACAAGGTATTATTTAAAAAGGTTTTGGCTTTCGTTCATAGATTTGTTAAAATTGATGTGCATTTTTACAGCATGGTTATCTGCAAAGCATGTGTAACACATCTGTACTTACACCAAAGCTTTAATGTTTGGAAGTCAGGACAGTGTACGTTGGGCAGTTCACTAAATATCTGTATTCTGGAATCCAGTCCAAAGTTCAGTGAGCAATTCCAGACCAGCATGCAAAATTTTTAACGCTCCCTACTTAGCCCCAACTGAAAAAAAGACAAACAAAGGACAACTCTCCAAACGATGAACAAGAGAAAAAGAAAAAAGGCTTCTCTCTCTTACTTTGGAAGGGTAAATTTCCTAGTTAAATTTACCCTTCATTTTAATTTTCATATTTATTTCCTATCCTATTCATAGTCTTTTTTTCTTTAGGTCACGAGCAGTTGTCTAAGCATTTCACTGCATATCGTACTGTGTATGACTGTGTATGTGACAAATAAAATTTGAATTTGATTTGATTTGACTGCTGCAGCACTCAATGCACATTACCAGTCAAATGTGACGTTAGTTGAATGTAATATTTAAGAAACTGGGTGGTGCAGAATCACATGTTTTTAACTGTTGGTTTGTGTTTGATTGTAAAACATCTTCCCTTGAAAAGTGTGTATTTCTGTTTTGAAGAGGCTCAAAAACAATAAGTTTAAAATAACTTTGGTCATTTGAGGGCGCCTTGAGGCGACTTTTGTTGTGATTTGGCGCTATATAAATAAAATTGAATTGAATTTCTTTTTCTCCCAGTCCAGCAGGTGGCGTTCTCTGCCTCTATAAAGAGTGGAGAATCTCAAACTATTGGACCCTTTGACTCACACACTATTCTGATCTACAACAATGTGTTCACAAACGTTGGAAATGCCTACAGCCCACACACCGGTAATAACACTGAAAGTCACTTTCCTGCTCCGTGCATGTTGTTCTGAGGTTACAGGTGTTCCAACATTTTCTGTCTAACCTGCCAAATCAAATGTCCCACAGGTATTTTTGCTGCACCAGTGAGAGGAGCCTACCACTTTGAGTTTCACGTAGCTGGACCTGGAGATGCGTCACATGGTTTATGTACTGTGTTAGTAAGGAATGGGATGCATGTAGTTACAGCATGGGATCAAAAAGAGTCTACTTTTGGAAGTTCTTCTAATGGCGTGACGTTGATTCTAGAGGCTGGAGATCAGGTCTTTATGCGTCTGTGGTCACAGTATAAAATATATGACGATCAGCATCACTACTCCACTTTCAGTGGTCATATGCTTTTTGCCATGTAAAAGGGAACTGGTTCCTCGTTTTTTGGTTTTAAAACACAGCTAAAGAGTTTTTAAATAAATTGAATTAAATAATGAATTAAACTTTAAATTCAATTTCATTTATATTGTACTAAATCCCAACAATAGTTGCCAGAAGGTGCTTGCAGCATAACTAAGGGAGGATTCAGGGTCACCTGGTCCAG